TGTTTGTGTGTGTGTGTGTGTGTGTTCATTCCTTCCTCCCTCCGTCCATGGCAAGCAAAAAGCTTAGCAATAAAAACTTGCATTTTTTCTTTTTCAAAAAATAATAACAGGTTGGTTTACGGCCGTTCATGTACTCACCGAATTTTAACTAATTACTTAGAAAACATAATTTTGGTGAAGTTCTATGTCAAAAACCTTGTTATGTAAACAAAGGTTTATTATGGGCTGGGGGGGGGGGTGACATGTATTAAAAAGGCAATTAGTAATTTACAGTCATCACTATGGCAAACATCAATAGTGGGCATGTAAGAAATGTAGACGATTTAAATATATTTTAAAACTATAACGTACCTACCTGAATGTTCCATTATTTAATGTTCAACTCTGCAGATTTTATAGAGCGTTGTAAAGTTCTATCTGCAAATTGAATACTCCATTCTGGAAAGAATAATTATTATTCATAACCAAAACGACTTGAAACCACCATTAGCAATTTGCATCGCGTTACTATAAGAATTTAGAAAAATGTTCATTTGAAAAGCTTGCCCAAGTTGTGAAAGTCAAAATTTTCAAATTTAATTTTTTTTTTCAAAACTAGGTACTGAGCAGATAGAACTTTGTAATTCTGGGGTAGCTGAATAAAACTCATCAACAAAACACATTTTTAATTAATTATGGTAAATTATATATTAACGGTATGAACTAAGGCCTATTTAAATTCAATTTATTCACAATCACTTCAGATCTTATTTTGTTATTAGTACAAGCCGGCCAGCCGACATCCACAAGACTGACAAAATATTGACCAACTTTTCAGGACAGAAACGTTCTCACGACCCACCATTGAGTGGAGATATACAATTGTGGAGGTCAAGAAGGCGAACCAGAACTCATGTAATCTTCCTCTAATATTCATTCCAGGCTCCTCATGAGATCGTTTTCTCTAGTGAACACGAGAATCTTCCAACGTGTTCGCAGTACACTCATTGCTTTGTTGTGGGCGTTGAAAGTGTTCTGCTAACTGTCGAAGAGCTCGGCATGATCATGACACAAATACAAGCTACAAGCTAAAGAAAACAATTAATTACACATCTGGCTCGAAAAGGTTTAACAATGTCTATTGTTTAAAGGACTGGTTAACAGAAGCTAAGAGTCGCTTATCAGTTGTCTAGGTTGAACAATGTCTATTGTTCAAAGCAAGGACTGATAAACAGAGAGCTAGGAGCTTATTAATGTTCTTGGTTGCACAACGTTCAAAGTACTTGTACTGATAAGCAGGTGGGGGTGCTTATCGCGAGAATAGCAAAAACATCATATCTGCAAAAACTGATACTGAGATGATTTTCTTAGAATACGTGTTTAAATGCAGTTTAATGGTACGAAGCCTTTTCTTTCAGTTCGAACTCGTGGAACGCTTGGAAAGTCAATAACGAACATTTCTTAATTACGTGTATTACATCTACAATATTCATGCTTCATAAATTCGTTTTTCAAGATAATGCTTAGCAAATTTTAATGTGACATTCTTGCATTATCTCGAGTTATTTTCTTTTTAGCCGATACCTTAGGCCTACTATAGATTCAGTGGAAGCACTCCCTTGTGAAAGGCCTTATGTTCCCTCGAATATCGCTGGGTGGGGGGGGGGGGTCCAGAATCTCCTACGATGGGGAAATCCACGAAGCACAATCGATAGCACACAACATATAATGTAGTTGAAATTGTTTAAGACGGCCATCAATTTTTTAGGATTAAAAAAAAATAGCCGTCTCAGCCAGATCAAGCGCATATTGCCCACTGCCATTTTAATGCACACACAAAAAAAAATCCGGGAGGGGCGAGGTGGCCGTTTGTACAGGCGATTGTCTTGTACAGGTGGCCCACAGCTTTTTTTTTTTTTTTTTTTCGGTTAGTGTTTTACGGAGCTGGCAAATGCATAAGGTCATAAGAGCGCGCGGGACACATGTAACATTTTCAGAAAGTAGGAAATTTTGAATTTTGCCTGGGTGGCGCCGAAACCTACTCTTATCGATTTTAGACCACGAAGGGATCTTTAACGAGCGACACGGGACCTCCGAGATTTTTCGCCCTTGTCCGAGAAGGCTAGGTGTAGATCAGAAGGTCAGGGGTGTGGCTGAAAGAAGGAGTCAAGGAGTCGAGCAGCTGAGTAGAAAGGCTGCAGAAAAAGTCAGGAGCTCAGAGGAGAGGGGAAAGGAGGTGAGGGGGTGGGAGCAGAAAGTGGAGACGAACAGACGAAAGAACATTGCCAGAGAGCAGGAAAGGAGGTGAAAGGAGACAATTTTAGAGAAAAAAAATTTCTGTCACTGCACCCGGGACCTTTGAGTGAGAGGCGAACACCTTAACTTTTAGTTCTTGACCACAAGAGTCCTCCACTAAGGTTCAATATCATGGTAGGGCTGTACGTAACAGGAGCATGTCTATGTTCCCCCAGCTCTATGTTCACTCAGCTCTATGCTCCCTTGGCTCTGTGTTCCCTCAAGCCAAGTTAAGGTTTATGTTATGTCATGTCATGTCACGTCATAATGTCATGTCATATCATGCCGTGTGCCGTGACATATGCCATGTCATATTACATGACATAAATATCTCTAGACTTGAGGGAACATAGAGCTAATTCTCCTAACAAACCGCTCTATGTCTATATTATTATTGTTCCCTCAGCTCTATAATATGTTCCCTCAAGTCAAATTACATGCTACTTCATGTCATGTCATAATACCATGTCATATCATGCCATGTGCCATGACATATACCATGCCATATTACGTGACGTAAATATCACTTGGCTTGAGGGAACATATAGAGCTGACCCCGTACGTAACGGCGAAACGTAGAGTAGGATCATAAATCATAAACTCCATCCTTCTTCAACAACCTTGCTATATTAAACAGAAGTTTATTGCACTGAGCTTTCATCTTAATTGTTAAAGGCAATACCAACTTTCTCCATGCCGGTACGTATGCAGTATCATCCACTCCCCCTCCCCCTTCCCTTTGACAACAACAGAACAAACAAAATGACAAAGACTCGGATGGGGGCTCTCGTGGCCTAGAGGTTAAGGTGTTGGCCTCTCATTTAAAGGTCCCGGGATCGATTCCGGGTAGCGACCAAAAAATTTTCCTCTCTAAAATTGTCTCCTTTCACACCCTTTCCTGATCTCTAACAATGTTCTGTTGTCTGCTTTCATTTCCACTTTCTGCCCCCACCCCCTCACCTCCTTTGCCCCCTCCTCTGGGCTCCTGACTCTTTCTGCAGCCTTTCTACTGCTACTCCTTGGCTCCTCCTAACTGCTGTCTTTCTGCCACACCCCTGATCTTCTGGTAGGAAAAATCTACACCTAGCCTTCTCGGACAAGGGCGAAAAATCTCGGAGGGCCCGTGTGCAAGTTGCGCACGTTAAAGATCCCTTGGTGGTCTAAAATCGATAAGAGTAGGCTTCGGCCGCCACCCGGGCAAAATTCAAAATTTCTTACCAACGAAAAAGTATTAGGTGTGTCCCGCGTGCTCATATGACCTTATGCAGTTGCGAGCGCCGTAAAACCCTATACTAAACAAACAAAACAAAAGACTCGGATGGTGGAAAAGCCCATTTCTTGTGCTTCAGAGAAAACCAGTAAACCAATGGCCGATCATCAGAAACATTTGCTCTCTCTTGTTCTAGGTATGTTTAGCTCAATTTGTTGATGGATTTCAAATATTATTTTTAAAATCTATATATTTGTTTATTTTGGAAGGAGAGGGGGGGGGGGGGGGTCTGCCTAAGATAGCCTAGACATTTTGTTGCCTTCCATTGATAGAACTGCAAGGTCTTGTCCCACCGACTGACTAGTTGTAGGTAGATACAGAGCATTATTTTTAGGGTTTTTTTCTCCAACTAGCTTGACCTATCATAGCCTTCAGACTTCAGTGTGAGAGTTTGGCAGCGCGCAGCACAGTTTGATCAGAGACCTAGCAACTCCGGTTTGTTGATCATAATTCCCCTGCATCTACTGCAAGAGACGGTTATCAGACACGCGTTGCTGCTTACAATGAATAGTCCATTCTAATAATAATTTTCTTGTCAACGACAGAGGCCGTACATAAGCCTAGATGTTGCATTTTATTTATAATCATTAGTCAGAGACTCAGACAAGGAGGCTCTATTAAAGAAAAGAACGTAGGCCAGACCAAGGTTATATTGCCAGCTGTACCCAGTCAGTGTCCACAGTTACATGACAGTCAGCGCAGTCGGAGCGAAAAGGAGCAGTCACGAGTCCCTACGTCACTAGACTAGCTCGCGGAAATCCCAACTCGCTAGATTTATTACTTCCTCATTATCGTGCTGTGGACTGATCAACAGTCGACGAAAATCAAACCAAAAGCTTTGTGTGACCGGTCCCAGTTACACAGTCAGAACGATTTTTAAGAAAGGCATTGAAACTGAAGAAGGCAGCGTTTCAGTTAATCATTATGTCTTGTTGTGGAAATAAGTCTTTCCAGGCCATCGTCCTTGTTGCTTGTGTTTTTGTTTTGATTGCGCCAGCGCCAAGCTCTTCGACAGTGGCAGAACACCTCAACGCAAAAGACAAAACAGATCATGTCGGTGAGTATTATTGCGAGCACTTTGGTAGATCCCCGTGTTCGCTCTAGATCTAGATCTAGATTATCTAGATCTAACGAGGAGCTTGAAATGAAAATTAGAGGACGATTATATGGGTTCTGGTTTGCTTTCGATCTTGACCTGTCAATTCACAATCTTGTGTCTCCACATCGTGGTGGGTCGTGAAAATGTTTATCCTAAAAAGTTGGTCAATATTTTTTGTCTCGTGTCTTGTGGATGCCGGCTAGCTGGCTAGTACTAATAGGCCCTACTAATAACATAGAAGGAAATAAGTTATTCGATTTTCATACTCTTTGAACAGATCACTTTTGTTGTTGTTTTTAAAAAATAATTTTTTGAATTTTAACTAGAGTCTAGCAAATATGGGACATACTTTATAGAATTAGGAATACGTTTCGCGAAAAAAGCAAGATGAAAAAATTTGTAGCGATCCGATCTTATCAAGATGGTGACGAATATTGACCCTAGCGTAACAGCAGCAGACATTATTTTATGCAGCATCAAAAAAGTCAATGATGTGTCTCATTTTTTTGACAAGCTAAGAATAAAAGACAAAATCCATCGGTTATTTTCTGCGTCTGTTCTAAATCCCACACTTGAAGAAGAAGAATCAGGCTAACTTCAGCTGTGATTCAAATTACACAAAATCAGTTTGCATTTATATTATTTTGCCAGTGAAGATTCCCTTCTAGCTGTTTGAAATCAAATATTTTTTTAATATGACTTTGACCGCAAAAATTCATTTTATCTTTTGCATCACATAATATTGATATAATTATAATTTATATCTCATGATGGTGAATGCTGCCTTTTTTTTCAGACTGCCACTCTCTAATGAAAGCGGGATATAATGTGTCAGGAGTGTACCGCCTGAAGCTGAATCTCAAAGATGTCTCGGTGAGAACTCCAAGCAAAATTTATAACTTGTGCAAGTTTCTTTCAAAAAGGTTTCATCTTGATCTCCCTTTGCATAAACTGAAACTGAATCTCACTCTTGTTGTGCAAAAATTAAATACTCTTTAAGGGCATAAATTTAACATCTCTCTCTCTCTCCCTCCCTCCCTCCCTCCCTCCCTCGCTAGGTAGCTAGTTCCCTCCCTCCCCCTCTCTCTCTCTCTCTCTCTCTCTCTCTCTCTCTCTCTCTCTCTCTCTCTCTCTCTCTCTCTCTCTCTCTCTCTCTCTTCCCCCCTCCCTCCATCCCTGATTAGCAAAAAAACCTGTTAATTTTTTTTAAACAATTTTTATAATGTCAGGTTTGTTAATGCACACCAGTAGATTAACTTACCAAGAAATGGGTTTTGACAAATGTGAGGCAGCGTGGTGAAATCAGGCGTTCGTCAAAATAACAAAATCGGAGAAACAGGCATTTTCCACCAGTTTGGACATTTGTATCAAATTTTTATTTTTTGGCTTAACCTCTTTTATGCCCATATAAAACCACATGTCCTTGTGAATTTTACTGCTAAACATTGATTATTAAAGGCACAAAATATGTCATTTTTTCAGTTTTCAAAGACTCTTACAGCTAATGGAGTTACCAAATTTTGGCACCCATTTTTTCGCTAATTTCACCACTAAAACCTGGCGACCTCACTTCCTTCTATCGCAAATATCTTGAATTCTGTCCAAGATGAATGGATTTATTTAATTGGAAGCAAGGCAAATAAATCAGCTTTCAGACGATACCAATTTATAACTCCACATGCCAAAAAATTGACGAGCGCCTGATTCCTCCGCGTCGTGATACAAAATGATTCATATTCCTTTCATCACTAATTTTAATCATTATGCGGCTATGAAGAAACAAAAATTTTTATGCGTCCATAATGTTGAGCATGGTTTTGGTGCCGTTGCCTTTTCAGGTCAGTATTTTTCTTTATTCTTGAATGTGAAGGTCAATCATATTTACACTATTTGGTTTTGACATAATGAGTACTTTCCAGTTCTTTGATTTAGATATGCACAATCTTGTCTGTAGATTGCATCTGACTTTACGATTGGAATTTGTTCCTTTTTTTCAGGTGCCCTGTGAATTTAGAGGCGGCAATGCATACGCACTGATTCTGCAGCGTGTTCATGGCAGTATCTCTTTCACTCAATCTTGGGGAGCCTATGAGACTGGATTTGGCTCACCTTCCTCTGATTATTGGATTGGTTTAGCCACAATCTATGCTCTCACCCTACAAGGTGCTGTGCATGATGCTTTTTCTCTCAGGGTCTGGGGCATTGCTGGCTGGACTTTACTGGTCTTGGGGGAAGAGAAGATTACGGATGTGATAAATATGTATGTTTGCCTGTATAATGAAGAATATGAAATCTGGTGCATGCCATGTCATGAGCTTTTTTATTTCATATCATAAGATAGAATATAATGTTTACATTTGTATACTGACAAGCATTATTCGGCTGACTTATACAGTTTCCTTTTGTAATTGTGTAAGTTTTCTATTTTATGTAGGACTGTGATTTTATAAATGCTAATAATGGATCAAATTTTTAGCAAATTTTTACTTTGTCACACACTCGGATATAGATCTACTTTACTTATTATAATCTCAGGAACTCAGGGAAATCCTATAGTTCAGGAAGATGTAGTTAAAAACCTCTTGTTTTGTTCCTCTCCAGGTAACAATAAATTGCAGATCAACACTCAGGACTGGAGCGGCACTGCAAAAAATGGGCTATATAATTATTTTAGTCTAGAAGAGAGAAACACAAGATATCGCTTGCATGTGGGTGGCTATCACGGTGAGTACAGTTGCACTGATAAATTTGACTATCCATGTACTTTGAAACCCACTGACTGCCTTCTAGGACAGGATTTTTGTAGTAGGGTTATTCCATGGTAATTGACTTGGACTATACTTTCTTACAATGATAACACTGTAATTCAATATCAATTAATTTATTTCAACTTTAAATGATCAGAACGTTTGAAAGACATACATTAAGAATCATACTAAATGCAGTCATCTGAAACAAAAGTACTTAATGCAAATTCTGTGTCCTGTTTAGTTTCGTTAAGTGACAGGACAGATGAGGTATTTTTTTTCTGTCCCATCAGTTACCGAAACTAAACACATTAAAGCCTTCTTGGTTTCTCTTTTAGATGGTTTACATTGGAAAGTGTAGATTGAGAATCAAGTTGCTACAATATGATTTTCACATTTGTTACCCTAGAAATAGCCAAAATGTTGGCCTTCTCAGATTTTAAAAGAGTCAACAATTCCTGTTGCATAAAGTTTTGTTTATGACTGTATATTACTTGGACAGAATTCCAAGTAGTCTAATTTGCTTGATAACCAAAACCGTCTTAGGAATTTTTAGATCAAAACCTCTAAAATACAAACAAAGATTAATTATGAGCGATAAAAAGGTATAGATCTATTGAAAGTTGATGTCTACATCAATGTTAGCAAATAATGCTGTTACAATCAACTGTGGGACAAGAGCTACAGTTACCATCTGGAAGCAAAAATATTTTTTTAAAGTGTATTAATTATATACTCATAAAATAAGATAATTTATTGGTGAAGTTCATTTTACACCCGAACATGGCCTTCAGCGCTTGAGTCCATCTTAACTGTGTTCCTTTTCCGTTTTATGATCGACCCATTCCTCTGAATATGCTTGTGCTTTCTGACCAATTCTTTCTTTGTTTTTCTGTTTTCAGGTACTTTGATAGATGATCTGTCCTACCACAACAACATGCCATTCTCAACTGTTGATGCCCCAGACCCTTATGGTAGGTTCCACTGTACAATTAGATAATGCCAAAACACTAAGTTTTTAAAAGTTTCAAATGTACAGAAAAACTGATAGTTTAGCTCCTAGAGATGTATGATGTTCAACCCGAGGAGGGCTATCTCTCCCTCTCCCTCTCTCCCTCGTCTTCCTTTATTCCTCTCTCTCTCTCTCTCTCTCTCTCTCATTTTCCCTCCCTCTCTCCCTCTCCCTCTCCCTCTCTCTCTCTCTCTCTCTCTCTCTCTCTCTCTCTCTCTCTCTCTCTCTCACTCTCTCTCTTTCTCTGTCTCTCTCATTGTCCAGTTTCCTGGTCAGGATGACAGTCTGATAACTATATAAAAAAATCATCTAAATTTAGACAATATTGTAAAATTGTGTCTATTTTGCTAATTTGTAACGAATTTGTAAGTAGGTATACATATTATATATTTATGAAGATTAATATGTAACATTGTATACATAGCCTTTGTTTGATGCCAGCTTTATTACCACAGTGGACTGCAGTTATAGCAGTCTCGGTTGTAATGAGATTCAGGTTATAATAAGCTTATAAATCCCCGAAGCCGATCTTTTATGTGTAGTTTACAAATTCTTTTATATCAGGCATTATTGGAACAGGCGTGCTGGGATATGACAGTGGTTCAATCATCGACTTTATTGACGCAGAAATGTGTTTGATTTTGAGGGTCGCATTCAAATTCAGTCAAACTGTGCGAAAATGGTGGCTCTTGCTCCAACTTGAAGGAAAAATCTGGCTGGCCCCGACCCAATGAAATGAATTTGATAGGTAGTGGTTACTCAGTGATGAAATCAATAAATGGACTGAATTTGAGAATTAGCCTTGTGTTAAAACTAGTAGTAGTTATTAAAAAAAAGAAAATTAATAAAATTGAGTATTCAATTTTTCCTCCCCATTCAAAATATCCCCACGCTTAAACTTAAAAACAACAAATGGTGCGAGTGTCACAGTGAAGGTGAATATTGGAAAGGTCAGTGTACTTATTGCTTGTGATCTCCTGTTGGTTTTAGGTTGTGCAGCTGGGACAAAGGCAGGATGGTGGTACAACTACTGCGCCTACGCCCTGCCCACAGGCATCTACTACATTGGTGGCCCCTACAGACCTTCTGGGTCTATGTATGACGGGATTTACTGGAAGGACTGGCATGGCTATGACTACTCACTTAAGTACATTTCCATGACGCTGTCTCATTAAATTGATCTTCTTGCAGCAAGACTCCTATCATTCAGATTCATACGTATTTTGTTGAGCTTTGTATGATGTTTCAGATTGATGGTTGTTTTCTATACTTGCTTTTGGACGCTGTATTTTTATTTTAAAAGCCTTTATGTTTTTCAGATGTCATCTTTTTGCACATTAGCTATTTGGAAAAACTGATATTTCTTAATGCCTAATTGAAATAGCCAAATTCTGTTATGTTGGCCCTACAATACTGCATAATTTGGAGAAAGTATTCTCCTTAAATCATTGAGATTTTTTCAGATCCCCACTTTTTAAAACTTGTTATTCTATGCATTGCAATTTCCCTTAATGCAATGACAAATTTTAGCAGATCTGGTTAACACAAAGAAATTTTGGAACGTTTGTTCCTTCCTCCCTGCTGACTAGTCTCTTTTCCTTTTTTCCCTGTTCACAGTAACCTGCCATTGTCAGTACACATCACACAACACGCATTCAATAGACATTGACCCCTCATTGAGTTGTCTTACCCACTTTCCATGTGTAGCGGATGGTGAGAAAGTGGCTTTGTTTTATGGGTTGGGCTGACAAGACATGACCAATTGTCCAAATTTAATAGGAACATCCCTTTTTTTAAATTTTTAGATTCTCTTTATAATGTGCAGCTATGATTTATTAATTTCATGTTTTATTATTGGTTTTTGTTCTGAAACTGAAAATTAGCATGGGAATCATAATGTAAAGAGCTACAACCTTCCTTGAATCTCATTCTGTGCAGTCAAGGTATCCACATTAGGTTGAAATTAAGGTATCTCTTTTTTCAATTTCCAAAACCTAAAGCTAGTTTCTGGTCATGAAAAATTCGCTTTAGAGATTTTTTACTGTATATTATGATCAGATTTTGAACACATTTGAACAAAAATTGTTGATTATTATTGCTAAATTAAAACATATTGATTTAGAAAATGCAATGTTACTGCCATAGCAGTGTTACCATGGCAATGAAAGATGAAAGTCTAATTAATATACCTGATTGTCAGTCTAGACGTTTAAATAAGTCAACTTAATTGGAAACCAAGAAAATTTCAGTCATCTTAGGAGCTCAGATAATCTATATATGTAAACCTGTAATATTTGCTTCCGTTTTCCACTTTCTGTTTTCTTTTGCTTATAAACTAAGGGATGGACGCCACCTGTGATACTGATAGATTTTATTTCTCAATTTTTGTCTTTAGTAGTATAATTCTTTCTCTCTGTGTTCCTTTTTACCAGCACTATAGTGCAGTCAAAAATTTGTGGCGCAACATATCCTCAAATATCTATTTAACGGGTAAATCAGTGTCACCCATACTTTGCACTGAATTTTGTGTCAGTTTGTCTCAACTTAATCGTATTTTTCCACAACAATTTAGGCTAGATTTACTTTTCTTAGTAATTTATTGAAAATAAAATACTATAAATCTCCATCTCGCGGAAAATGGAATTATGCTCGGCACTTTCCGCTTCTGACAAACAATTTGCATATGCATATATGTATACATGTATATAATATATGGCCTATATCACAGCTCTCCAATGACACTTTTAGTGGTAAAACTTGTTACTAGAAAATCAGTTTATTGAGAACACTTTTTTTGCACCAAAAGGTTTTCAAAGCATGTGTTTTAATAAACGTAACGTCGTGATTAAAAATAGATAACGGATTTCCTTTTATAAGAGATATTGTCCCAGTTGTAAACCTTTTAAAATCTGTGATAACTACTCACTGGGTATATTAATTAAAATACATTCAGGAATTTTCTCGAATAAATCTAACAGGTGTTTTACCAAAATATTGATCTGTAAAAGCAAATTGACACAAATCATTGTGCAAAGCTGGAGATGTTATGTTCACTAGTCGAAGAAATATTTGACAAAAAGTTGTTCCACACAGTTTTGGCTGCTCTATAAATCACTACTATTGTGTCATTATGTCTCTCTTTCACTCAATCAAAACTTGGCACTACTTTTAGAATACAGTATTTTTAAATCAGAGCCGTCCCTATGATACATGACTATGCTCACATTTATGTCATATATTTCTGTTTTTTTGCCTAAATGTATCGAGTCTAACATTCCAGAATTGGTCAGTGCTTGGGTGTGGTGTTGTCCATTTTGTGCAAGAGTATTGACTTTCCTGGCCAAAAAATAAATCTTTTTCTACTTAATACTGTGTTGTCAGTATGTATCATTATACATGTATGTGAAACTGGAACTCATGCTGTGTATGTGTAATTTGCTCAAATATATCTTGGTTTTGATAAGGGGTTGATTATTACACGTCACTGATCTGACATTTGACTTAGTAAAGTTTATTACATTTTTTTAACATGGGACAACTCTCAGACATGTACTTTTTTGTGTACGTCATTTGCTTGTTTTCACTATTTTGACTCGGTCATTATCTTTGGTACTCGCATCTTGCTATGGTAGCAATTTGGGAAAAACAAATCACATCCCAGCACATCATAAGAATAAGTAAGTTGATCAGAAAGGCATCAAGATTTATAAGTAGTGACCTAAATAACTTTGTGTGTTCTGTATGGTAAATGTTCTTTAATAAAGGCAAACATAATGCGTAGTAACCATAGCCACCTATTGACATCAGAATTTCAATTATTGACCCGCAGTAAACATTTCGTTTCCAAGAAAGCAGTAACTGACAGGTATAAAAACTCATTCATACCAACTGCAGTTACGTTACTGAACACATGACAGTGCTACAAATGAAAGAGAGAAAGAGAGAAAGAAAAAAAAAGAGTGGGAGAGAGAGAGAGAGAGAGAGAGAGAGAGAATGATTGCGGAGCGGAGGTATTTCAGCAAGCACATAATACACAGGGGCAGTGGCGTGGCCCTCCAAGCGCAAAATGGCGCCATGGCGCCCCCCTTTGAATTGGAGAAGGGATTTTCAAAAAAAGGGAATACGATTTTCCAAAACTTATCTAAATATCACAATAAGTTCTTCAAACAAATCTCTTATTCAGTGTTCATCCCTAAGTACGCCAGTCTTTAGTTAAGGTGTCTATAATTAGGCTAGTGGGAGGAGGGCGGGTAAGCCTCCCGTGACAGGTCTCAAGGGTCTCCCGCGTCTTTCGTTCCCTACGTCTAAATTTGTTCCTGGCAAGATTTTGCTGTGCTGACCAGATGGTAACTTCAGCCAGGAGACAAAATTTTTCAAGTTTGACATTGGTAACGACGAGCAGGCGAGAAGAGCTGAAAACTCATATTTGACAAGTAAATCAAAACAAAAACCAATGACCACAGAATCCTACATTCATGAACAAATATGTATTAGATCAACAACACTTTTATTGAAAACAAAATCAAGCTTTTTATCGTCAACACCACCTACAAGTAAAAAGAATTTAAGAGCGGCAGGTTGCATAGAAATAATATGGGCATAAATATATGTATGTTATCCTTTTATTATTGCTTGTCGGTTGTGCGTTATACAGCAGTTAAAAGGTAATTAAAAAGGGTACATAACAAAATATTTAAATGAATCATGTTGAAATATTCTGGTGCAACACAACATTGTGTTTATTAGTCTGCAACAATGTTCAGCTACAGTGAGACGCCCAGTAACTTGTGACGATCGTGACTGCAAAGTTCCACGTAAAAGTGAAAGGATTCTACATTCGCCAAGAGTAAAGTGTAGTTGAACTGTACATTACAGATAGGAGTGCGGTATCGCAATCAAAGATACAATGGTACCAAGACAGTATAGCTTCATCTGTGCGTGAATGCTCTCTCTCTCTATCTCCCCC